TCTGTCAGAAAGTAACAGGAGCCACAAGGGCAGCCGGGCCTCAACCACAGAACTCAATTTCTTTCTGTCTGTATAGCGACTATAAAGGTTAGGATGGTAACTGCCATGACCCATCAGAGACCCAGAAACTGTCAGCTAACATCCCCTTTTTCACTTGAGAGCGACACGATGAGTTGTAGGGTAGCAGTTCCCTGACTCTACACAGGAAACCTCATTGGTACTTCATGCTCAGCCCTGGAGGCCGACATTCCCTCATCATTCAAGGCAGCTCCCCACAGCACAGCAAGAAAACCAAACTGCCTGCAGCAGCCTTCCAACTGCCTCCAGCCATGGCTGCTCAGCTCCCCACAGACACCTTGGGCTTGCTGAGGGGACAGGAGAGTCAAATCAACCTCATGCCCCAAAAATGGAGGGACGGCTGGGTATTTTTCTTTTTGTGGTTATTTGTGTCAGAATGATCATACTCAATTTAGTTTAATAAACTTTAGTTTTTAATCCAGCAATACATACTGAAATAGCTACACCTGAAATAATCAAGTTCCCTCAGGACAGGCCTTAGTTACTGCACCAGAAATACCACCGGGGTTGCAAGCACTTAAAGAAATCCATATACTGTGCCTCCAAATTATACATAAAATTGCATCATGGCCACTAAGGTACTTCTCGTATTTGTGCTCATTTAACTTAAATCAATTAGTTAATACATCAAATCGCTCAGATTAAATACAGAATTTTGCTGGAGAAATGGCAAGATGTTCCTAAAGGTTCACTTTTCAGTCATACAGTCTCCATTTTCTCATAGTTCACACCAGAGATCAGTGGTCCCCAAAATTACCCATCATTGCTACGCTATGAAGATAATGTCACAGATATTATGCCAGGTAAGTGATAGGAAATCACCAGGAGGGTGAGTGCTGCTATGCAACACCATCTCTGCCACTTCAACTTATCAGCAATGCTCAGATCCACTACTGCTAAAGGTACTTTAAGTACTGAAATTCCTGGCTATACACTCACGGCCTGAATTAGTGAGAAAGAAAAAAAAAAAGCAGAAAACCTGAGTTTCAAGACTGTAAAGAACTTCTGAGCACTGTTTAAAGCTAAACCGTCAGAGAAGCTGTGTCCAGCCAGTTTCTCTTACAGAAACCCGCAATCAGTGCTCACAAGCAGCCTTTTTACTAACAACATCCACAGCAGGGCTCACACCTCAACCCAAGGAAGTATCAGCTACGTTACAAGCAATCCAGAGCAGGTAAAGCAGAGACCACATGCAAGCATTCCTTAAAAAATACAAAGCCATAGAGCTGGAGAAGTTCTCCCAGTGCTCTTTTCCAGAAAACATTTATTTTTCTAATACCCTTTTTTGCAAGGAAGTGACAAGCACACAGCTTCTGCTGGCACACAGAGCCAAGACTGGAACATTTTCACTCTGTTACGCCACTTCCCTTAGCTTTCCCATCTGACATCACCATCAACTGAACAGGCCGCCATTTCCCACAAGTATAACTTGAAAAACGTGTAAGAAAAGCATAAAATGCCAAAATCCCCGAGTCCTGCAAATACTAATTGCAGTTAGGTGATCCCTTTGTGTTCAAAGAATTAAGTTAAAATACCAGTACATGTTCCCAAAACACTTTTTAAGTGACTCATCAGAATTGCAAAGAGGACAATATTACATTTAAAATTAACGTACAACTCCACTTATCCAGCATTACTTTCTGTGAGGGTTTTTTTTGACTGCTAAAACTCTTTCTATGGTAATTGAAAGTAAACTAGAAATGCCAATATAACAACAACAACAAAAAAGGATGACATAACAACATCACTGAGGATCAAAACTAAAGTTTAAAGGAACCAAGCAGCGTGTTATTAGGAGAAGAAATGAACTCTAAACACAGAAAAGGAAATCCTTAAAAAACTCTCTCATTCAAACCTGGGGATTTTCATCCTAAAACACCAAGAAAGAACGGCATCATGGTAAAGAACGAAGCACATCTCTTTAACAGACACGAGTGTTATCAAGTGTTATCAATTACTGTTTGCATGAGAGGAAGATAAAACAGAAAGTGAATGGTGAGAAGCCACCCAGGCAGCTGCCAGACAGCCTCAATGACCTGCACTGTTCTGGGGGACTGGTGACCGCCTGGCACAGACAGAAATGGAACAGAGGAAGAATAACCATCCAGAAGAGCTGAATATACACTCATGAGTATCCTCACTGAAGGAGGTGAATCACCTGCTTCCATGAATTGACAAGTTCTCAAAGATAGCTTTAATTTTAACAATAGTAATAAAATCATCGCATGGTGCATGTGGCACCTGCTGAGCACACAACCCAGATGCCAGCACAACAGCCCTCCTTCCTGCTCAGCTGAAACCCCAATCCCCAACTTCAAACAAAGATATCTCAGTTACAGCACCTCACCTGAGAAATTCAACCCAAAGAGTGGGGGGAGGAAGGGGGGGAAGGGCAAGTTTCAGGTAACCATGGGAGAGAGCACACCTCTCAAACAAGTCTGGCCATCAAAACTAACAGTGCCAGCATTTTGCACCTCTGCAAGATTCAAAACACTGAGTTATGTGACCGAAGCCTTAGACTGAAAGATTCCCAAAATCAAAGGTCTCAAAATAGTTCCCCTTTTAGCACTAACGAGTTACATAGGGACCGAGCAGCTCTGCCCACAGCTGAGTTCAAACATACTTTATTTCTAACAGGTACCGTTCCATTTTAACTTTGGAAAGCACACCCAGAGACTGCTTAAATACTTCTACTGTAAAACCTGGAAAACGATCAAGAGAAGAAACTGCTGAGCTCCAACAGGAAGAGCTGCACGGCAGTGGAAGAAAAAATGGAGGTCACCAGAGACCCACTCCACACGTAAATATGAAACAATAAACAGAGTGACTCAAGTACAGCCATTTTACTACTCAATTAACAGCCACAGCGTTTGGTCGCTCAGGAAAGAACGCTTCCGAAACGTTAGAAAGAACGCAGCTACGGTTCACTGCAAACTACAACCGCAGAACCAGAACCGAGAACTGTTTTCTGGAATAGGGGAAAAGCAAAGCCGAGGGGCAAGAAAACGGCGCTTTCAGGACGGGAACGGCAGGCAGGGCCGCAGCCGGGGAGCTCCAGAGGGCATCCCCTGCCACGTGCCAGCTCTCAGGGTGCGGGAAATGAAACCGAGGGGAGGAGGAGGCACGGTGGGAAGAAGGAAGGAAGCAAGAAAGGAGCGAAGCAGCCGCCTCGCTCCGCGCAGAGCGGCCCCGCGGTCCCCGCCCGTCCCCCGGGCGCACCTCATGCTGTAGGCGCCGGCTCCCAGCTCCTGCCCGATGCCGGAGAGACTGGCGTCGAAGTCGTGCACCAGCCCGGACTCGATCACCTCATCCATCTTCAGCACCCACGCCATCTTCCGCCGCCCCCCGCGCTCCCGCGGCGCCGCGGGAGGAGCCGGACGGGGAGGAGTCGCTCGGCCCCGGAGCCTCCGCCGGGAGGCGGCGTCTCGGCGGGCGGCGCGGGGCGGGAGGAAGCGAGAGGGGCCGGGGGGGCGGCGCGGAGCCGGGGCGGGACGGAGAAACGCGTACTGGGCGGGGGAGCGGCCGCGCTCAGCCCCGGGGGGGCCCTTCGCCCGCGGCGCGACCGGGGCGCGGGGCCGCCCTCAGCATCCTGCGGCCGCCCGGCCGCCGAGGGGGGCCGGGGACCCGGCGGCCGCCGCCTCCTCCTCCCCCTTCCCCTCT